ACTCTTTCCAAAAAGCTGCTTAAAAAGAGGAGAATGTTAGAACTCCAGCTTGCACAAGCTGACAAGCAGAGATTTAAGGGGGAAAAAAAAGACAGACAGACTAGATAAATACTTTTGAGTTAGCTGTGCTTCAAATAGCTCTAACTTGTACTCATGTGGAGCTGACAAAGTAACTGGTAAAAAAAAAAAGCGCTACTTATGCAATATGTTATTGCTGACTTTAAAAAAATGATCTGCAAAGCTCAGACGCAAATTCAATTCAATGGGACGGTCATTTAGATCAGGAAATAAAAGCATTTATTTTTTTCTGCCTGCAGATGTATTTTCTGCAAGTTCCTTTTTTAGGCAGTGGGGGCTGGCTGGCAGGTTTACCCATCCCTGCGACAGGAGACTAACACCAAACAAATCTCATTAATCCAGAAAGAAATGGATTTTCTTCAAAGCCATTTAACTCCACACAAATGCAGGTGTGGGAAGACACTCTTGAACTCCAACCACTAGTCAGGGAGGGATTTCTTGGAGTCAAAGGAACTTGTGTAAATTGGTTTCCCAGCCAAATAGGACACTGCTTCTCTTCTCGCAGTTTTGCAGTTTTTCTTGTGTTAACTCAAGCCTGTGGACAATAAGAACGGAGGGACCGTAAGGTCCCAGCTGGGACATGGTCTTTAAAAGGGATACTGCAAAGCTAGTCATTTCAGCATCGTTCACACCCTAGCAAGGTGGGTGAGCCAATACTGCAGGTCAGAAGAGTAACGCGTTAAAACCACTTTGCACAAGTCTGTCAGTGCACGGAAGCAGGGGGGGAGAAGAAGATCAGTTCCCCCATCTGGGTTATAGTGACAAAGAAGAACATAAAATGATTCAGTTTGGAGGTGCTATGGAATGGTACAACTGCAGATAATTTAATCCTGGCGGGGAAACGATGCATGCAATTCTTGAGCTGACAAGCCTAACAGAAGGGTTACCATCTTGGTGTACTGTTGGCCTAGGAGTGCAAAGATTTTTTTTTTTTTTTTGAGGGGGGAGGCAAACCACCTACGAACAAACTCTAAGGCTCTGACTATCTGTGTTTCTCTCTACTGACAATTATTAGGTCTTGTGACATGGAGACAAGAATACACGTTTTTACCTGAAAGTGTGATTTCACTTGTGAACTCTTGTGACAAAAAGATCCATCGGTAACGAAGTCCAGTATGAACAAGGTGGAACCGGCTTCCACAGATGAGGTATATGCTCAGTAGAAAGGATGCATATGGGACCTGAGGAAATTATGCTGAAGACAGATTAGGGAAGAGGCACCCTCTTATAGTTATGCCAGAAATGAAAGCAATTTTTTTTCCCCCCCGTCTGGTTGAATTGCCCTTCTTGGTGGAACGTTAGCCACAAGGCTGCCTTGTGGAAGTAAGGACTCCGAATACAGAATCACAAGATGATCTCAGAGAAAAGGCACTAGGAAGAGGCGTCGAGTTCGAGGCGAACAAGATTTGCCCTATTTCCAATCACTGAGTGGGACAAGCGAACCGGACCATTTGGGATTTGTACTGCAGAATAAACAGAACGTTGTACAGCAAAAAAGAAGGATGTTGAAAAACAAAGCAAAAAAAATAATAGAAAAAGTAAAGCTATTTTCAAATTATTAAAATGCTGAATTTTATACAGCAAAATTATATTAAACAGCAGCAGATAAGGTATGTCCTGTCTCCATAGGTGAAGGACATTTAAAATGTTTAAAAGGTTAACTATAAAACAATTTTACAACCGAAATATGAACAGGCCAATTCAAGTATATATATACACAATATATTAAAATCATATAAATTATATATTTATACAAAGGGCACAAATATAGCCAAAAAAAAGCTGCAATCGGTTTAACAGAACTGAGTTGTGAGTAATCAATGTCACTTCAGACATGTGATGATTTTCTCCCAAAGTCTTTTTCAACCTGGATAGATTGATACCTCAGATACTAAGAGTACAGAGAGCAAGGATCAAAGAATTATTATTCTAAATGAAATAACACTGACAGAGTGGGATGGTAGATCTCATATGAAATTCTGATTTAATTATTTCCACAGTAAACATTTATTTGCTCTCTTAAAAAAAATTAGAAATTTCAAATCATCTACTGCAGATGTACCACTCTGATGTGTGTATTTAATGATTACATTTGAATTTTGTTTGATTTACAAACAATTATTGGGGGGGAAGGAGACCAGCACTTCTCAGGCTGCAAGGAATGGTGACAGGTGGCAGTAAGTCAAAAAAGGAATAAAAATTGCAGTTAGAGTAGGAAGGATGCTCTCCTTACAGCACTGTGGCTAGTAAGTGAGCTTAAAAAATAGTAGCTTATCCTCAACTAGACTTTTGTATTTCAAAAGACAGCAGTATGTGGCCCCAGGCCAGTGAAGCACTTAATGCCAGTAGTTCCACTGAAGTCAATAGGGCTATTTAAGTTTAAATTTAAGCACATGCCAAGTGCTTTGCTAGATTCAGGTCTATGTGCATACATTCTGTATAACAGTACCTCAACTTTCTTTCTATTAACTGCAGTGCTACCCCTTCATGAATACAGTTTTAAAGGGTTGCTACATCTTCATTAACCCAATTGTTCCAGGCATGCAAGTAAGCAGCAAGGGGAAAACTACACCAAGCAGAAAGAAAGCAAAGGCAGGGCTACAAGTATACAGAAATTCTTGTAAAAGGCTTAAACAACAGCATGTAAAAGTAATTCAGTTGCACCAGATGCAGGTTAAAAAAGATCAACTGTATATCACGAATACTGGTTATCCACTATATTGAAAGGAAATCAAAGCAAACAGGAATTCCCCAGTTTCAAGTAATCCTCAATCCTTTTTGGTGAGCTGTATTTTATCCTAGCAGCTAACTTTAACAGCTTTATATATGCAACAATTTTTGCAGCTAATCTTTCATGTCTCAACCCAAATTGACAGTTGTGTCTTGTGAACATTCACCTGCAGCTGTCCATGCATTCTGCATTGGCTCCTTGAGAAACTATTCAAGTTAACAAGATTGCAAATGAAAGACAAATTACAATCTGCATGTTCTTTCTTGATTTGAAAAATAGGTTTTAAAGGCTTGTCAAAGTTTAGATGAAAAAACCCTTCCATTAAAAAATCCAAGGATTAAAAAAATCATTAAGACATCTTTTTCTCTGATCAAGGGTGCTAATAAAAAGATTACAAATATACTACAATTTGACCAAGACAACTTCAATGAATATGCCGCTGTTGAGCATGCAACACCACTGATATCTGCCAGGTTCCAGGTATCAATGTCTCCCCGTGTTAACCCTACCCTTCAACATCCCCCCTGACAGCCCTCCCCCCATTACCCGATTAATAACATTATAAAAATGTAAAATCTAGAGTTAGTGGCAAAATCTTCACAGTAAATTGTTAACAAAGAAAATGTTATTGTGGTCATCTGCAAAATGGTATCAGTCAACTGGACCCTGGAAAATTAGCTTGACGCAGTTGTGCTCCCCAGACAGCTGTGCTGCACAGAAAGGGCAGGCGGCATGAAATGCATGAGTACCGTGAGGCAGTGGGATCTGAGACCAGTATTTTGCCGACTTCTCAGAACACACATGTCCACAAGGGGTGAAAGCATGAGTTGGAGGACCGGCATCCACGTAAAACCCTGCCTCGCAACCAAGCCAGAGAGGCACGTAGGGCCCAACGGTTCTGCACATGGGACACTCCCGCTCATTGGCTTCTGTGTCACTGCGATGTCCCCAGTTATGATACCCGTGCACATGGCCACAGCTGAGGTAAGCCCAAGGCTGCTTCTCTTCTACTACATCTTTGCGGTTAATGCTGGGAAACGCTAAAGTGTTCAGCCCAACAGGGCACTGTGGCCTGGCAGCATTTATCTCCTGTCGCAGGGCTTCGATGTGTTTCTGAGTCGGTGTGTGAAAGAGGCCATCCGCCGTTCTCCACAGAAGGGTGGCTCCGCACAGGTCAACGAGAGAACCGTCTTGTAGGACGTTGGTCTCGTTTTCTACCTGGTGACAGAACATAGACAGCAGTTAGGTCCAAGATGCATCTTTTACAGAATATAACAAGGTGGGTGAAGGACTCCTTTTCCTCAACAGTGCCCTTCCCTACTAGGCTGCTCTCTGCCTTCATCTCTCAGCATCCATCAGCCATCTCGCCTTATAAGCCCTTTGGAGCAGACAGTCTTTTGGCTCCATGCTTGTCCACGTGGACCTGGTCCATGATTTGAGCTCCTAAGCGCTATGGGCACCTACACACGTTCTGGACGTCTGTTCCGATGCATGCCAATTAGCACACATTGAAGCAGATTTGATTAATAGATTGAGGCCGGAAGGGACCTCGGAAGATCACTGGGTCCAGCCCCCTGCACCAAGCAGGAAAGACAACTGGGGTCAGGTGACCCCAGCAAGGTGATCATCCAGTCTCCTCTTGGAGATTTCCAGGGTAGGTGATTGCACCACCTCTAACAGAGTCTGTTGGAGCATGCTAATTAATCGAGTCCGCTGGAGCATGGCAATTAGCATGCTCCTGTAGTCTCCGTGTCACATGTATTCAGCATCCCCATGCTTCAAAAAGGCAGCAGGCGCACTTTAATGCAAGTTGAACTAGCTTTAGTTCAAGCACCTTAGTTCAAGCGCCCCTATGACTACTCTGAAGTGCGGGATGCTGAATACACGTGATGCTGCAGGCTCTTTAATTAGAGTAGCTCTCAGAGCTGCTCTAATTAAAGCACCCCCTCCACCCTGGAACATGTGTAAAGATGCCCTATGGTAACAAATAATGATACAGTTTGTCTCCTGTAACTTTTTGAAAAAGCTCCCAGAGTACTTGCAGACTGATTTTGAAAGGTCATCCCCATTCTCTTCTCCTTCTACCCCTTTGATGAGTCACTCTCTCTCCTTTATCTTCCTAGCCCTCCTGATCCTCTTTATGGCTCCCTGTTCCACATAAGGCTGGCCCTAATCAGGTTTAGAGAGCTGCCATCCAGTCATTCAGGGTGCCTGCCAGTTTGATCACTCCTTTCAAGTTTTCGGTTGCATTTCTTCCATTGTACAGGTGGGCAAGTGGCAGATAACAAAACAGATGCCAGTCTTTCCCAATTCACTCCACCTACTCTGACATGCTTCCTTGCATTGTAGCAAGCAGAAGATCTTTATAGAGGAAAGCACAAAAGTCCAGAAGTGCCCCATGCCCACAGAGCAGTGGTCTCCAACCTTTTTAAGTAGGAGATCACCTTTGGCATTTAAAAGCAACCCAAGATCTACTGTGACCTGCCCCACACTGCCAAGTCTGCGGGGAGGGAAGGGGCAGCAGATCAAGGCAGAAAAAATTATTTGGGGGCACACCTCCCCAGCAGGAAAGTCCCACTGGCTGGGACCCCACTCAACTTACCCTTGCTCCTGCCTCTGTGGCACTGTCCCTCATCATAGGGGCCTCGATCTAGCCCCCGCCCCTTCCCTCCCCCATGGACTGACCTGCTAGGCTGGGGCGTGCGCATGCATGCACGCGGGCACTCAGCCCCCCACCCCAGCCTTGGATCAACTCCAAGAGGCTCTGAGATCTACCGCCAGAGGCTCCAAGATCTACCGGTGGATCGAGATCCACTGGTTAGTGACCACTGCCATACAGCAATACTGTTCCATGGATAGGGATCTCGACTAGCAGCTGGAGATAACTTTCCTATATCAAGATCAGGCCCCTGTTTATCAGAGGCCAGGGTTTCATCAGCAAAATCGCAGTGTGGTCATCATTCTTGAACCCAGATCTTCTGTGCAGGCACAAGCAGTACCATTTCCAAGCCACCAAGCCCAAGGATTTCCTTACATTTCTAATCTAACACCAGTACTAGATGCTGAGAGTGTGGAGTGAAGCCTTGTTTTACTTGTATACTGCAGATTCTGAGAATCTTTTTCACGGTTAAGACAGTACATTAGGGTTGGTGCCAAAATATTTGCATCATGCAGGCATTTTTTTCCCTCTTCTAAATTCTTGGGGGAAAACACCTCACTTCAATGTTTTGCTAGCAGCTTCCTCTGCAAAATGCTGAGGATTTAGCATGTTGAAAGGTTAGACTGTTTAACTTACAGATATGCTGGATGTCAGCATCATTCAGAGAATGCGGATTTCCTGGTCCCACATTGGATTTATATTATGGGATGTAAAGGTAAGCCTGGGCAATTAAGCTACCCAGGGTCCTGGAGGTAAATATTAAATGTTAAGAATTTCTCAGGACTGTTTGGAGTGTTATAACCATTTACTCACTTTCACAAACTAGTACATGCATAGCATTAAATAAAAATGGAAGGATGGCAAGTGCTTAGACCACCAATAGAGGAGCTAGCGCGGGGGCAGGCAATTATTTCGGGCGGAGGGCTGCTTACAGAGCTTTGACAAGCCATTGAGGGCCGCATGACAGGCAGCCAGGGGCAGATAAATATTAATTTTCTAAGTTTTTTAGGGGCCCCGTGGGCTGGATAGAATGGCCTGGTGGGCTGCATCCGGCCCCCAGGCCGCATTTTGCCCACCCCTGGGCTAGTGCTTTGACTACTAATAAGGCTTAGTGCCTAAGCCTTGGTTGAAATGAGATATATTACATGTGTGAGCTCGGACAAGCTACCTAACCCCTGCGTGCTTCAGTTCCAGTGGAGACAATGACTACTCTCTGCAGGATCAACACATGACATGGCTGTGAAGTGCTCAGATACCTCAGTCATGGGACAAGCCAAGTAGCTAAGCCAGAGAGAAACACTCTGCTAGCTCTTTGGCATTACAGAGTAACATTAATGGAGAGGTAAAGCGCACTGCCCGATTTTCAGGAGTAACTAGAAGCCATGGAGAGGATGGTGGTGGGGAATGTAGCTCCTTTGGGAAACCAGACCTCTAGTGAACATATGGATATCTAGTACATGCTCTTGCTGGCTATAGGCTTCCTGTTTCTGACTTCTGAAAATAAGCAGCTGCTTATTTATCCCATGCTTCAAGAGATTACACTAATCAAACATAGTGCTTTGATAGAGCTTTTTTGGACTTGTTTTAATGTCACAAACATATAAGTGGCTTGTGCTTCTGCTATCACCTTTGGAGTGTGGATTGCTTATTAAAGGTGGACACTAATGACACTAATGGAGAACCGACGGGCTACTCAGGAGGGAGAAGCATATAATTAACCCATCCAACCTTACACACCCAGTACTGCTATACCAAATATATACCCTGGACATTACACTGACCACTTCAGTCAGCAACCCTATGAGGAAAGCACAGCGGAATGACCTATTTGGCACTGTATTTTAACCTAGTCCAACTTTGCACAAGGCTTAAAGTACAGTACGTGATCTCAATTAATACAAAAAAACCTGGATAATGATTCAATAGTCCACTGAGAAAAGCAATTGGTATTAAATGACACAGGTATAGAGTAGAGCGATTACATTAGAAATCCGCCAAAACAAAGAGCATCTCATTTGTCAGAGCATTTCTTTGCAAATGGAAAAAGGAAAGGTTTCTTTGTATGATGGATTAAATGCATTGCAAACTATGCGGACTTGTTTTTATGAGCCCAATCAGAGAACACTGATCACATCAATACTAAATAACATGCCGTGTAATTTTATTGAAATGAGAATGCAAATAATTTTGGATACAAGAAAAGCTACTTATTCATTTTAATGCTGCCTTTTCTTAGCAGCACTAATAAGGTGTTTTGCTAACCATGTACAAAGGGTGCAATTGCAACATCAGTTGTCTTGGTCCCTGGGGTGATGATGTCTGCCTGCCACCACTGAAGAAGCAAAGCAATTTATACTGCAGTCTGCTTGCTGAAAGCAGAGCAATATTCAACCTCTGTTTCTCTCATTTCTTTTAGCAGTCAGTCTTGTGTACAAACCGCAAAATTGGAAAGTCAATTCGGCAGTACTGGGCAACCACCTTTGACAGAACAAGGAGACCAGAAGGTATCACAATAACACTGCAGAAGACAAAATTGTGTCAAGACCAAAAAAGACCAGCTTCCCAAAGTGTTTCTAATACCCACCCCCAGCTTTCAAAACCAGTGCGGGTGGAGGGTGGGTCACTGTGGACACAGATCAGATATTGGTCCTTTTTAAGGATGTTTAGGGATGCTCTACATTTTTCCCCAGGCACTGAGAAGTCCAATCAGAGTCTCATACCTTAGTTACTCATCAGAAACAGAAACATTTTTGTCCCAGCACTATTACTGGTTGCTTACTGTTTCCAAAGAAGGCAGATGGCACTGCTCTGACCTGTAAAGCCCTGAAGTATATGGCCCACCTAGCCATGAGATCTCCTTCCCTTCTGGCTCATAGCTGAAACTGCTTTGGCTCCAAGTCAGGTGTTTGTTCTTTAAACTATGCATTTTTGGAGGGCCAAATGCACAGTATCCTCCTCTCAAACTCTTCACCAGTCTCTCTCTCTCTCTTCTGGAAGTGGGTACTGTGCACTCAGCTGGGATGGGATGGGGCTGCAGATGGACAGGGAGTGGCCAGGATCGTAGGGTGGTGACAAAGCAGACCTGGGGCTCAGGTAGAACCACGATCCACTTCTTGCACACCCATGATGGGCGGCAGGGGCATGCAGATCGCGCCCCTGTATCAAGCCCCAGCCCCATGATCCTGCCCCTGCCCACCTGTCCTGCTCCTGGATGCCACTTTCTACCTACCTGCCCGTGGCAATCCCACCCGCCTGGCTGAGTCCACGCTGCCCATGGTGGTCTGGGCTGGTCTCCATAGAGAACCTGCTTGCCTGCTCACTCCATCTGGTGCCCCCGGCAGTGGGTGTGGGGTGGATGGGCCGGGGTGCCCAGGCAGTGGGGTTGGGTCCAGCAGCAATGGAGACACCGGCAGTGGCAGCTGGGCAGTGAGCTGCCACTGCGGGGGAGCCAGGTCCAGCCACCACACTGACTCTGCCACGCGCCTGTGGGCAGCAGGAGCGGCTGCACATGCAACGGCCTGGGTTGCTCCCATGCCTGGGCAGGGCAGGGCCAAGGGACCCGCCGCAGGCCAGACAGCATCCCCTGGTGGGCCAGATTTGGCTCACAAGCTGTATTTTGCCCACCCCTGCCCTGAGTCCTATTAGAGCATAGGAGAGCACATACCACTCAAGAGTGAGATTTGTTTGATTTTACAATGCAGGTGTATTTTGGATGAAGACTGGCAATAATGGAAAATGCAGATACTGCTCTTGTGCTGACAATATAAACCGCAGCGCAGTGCTACAGAATTTACTGTGCCCCGAGTCTGCCAGGGAATGCCAAAAACTCTCACACGTGGAAAAGACTCTTTTGTACCATGGGCCTAGATCACTATACTTCTCCATACCAGGAAAGCCTCCTGATGCTAGCTTTGGTTTCATTTAAAATACATGACTTAAATTAAAATATGCCACTTAAGTTACAGCCATTTAACTTCTGAAACCTCAAGTAGGGATATTTCACCAACACAAGCGTGAGCTCTTATCCTGTCTTACATCTCTTGAACTGCTCTGTTGGCTTTTTGGTTTCATTTAAAATATAGTTGTGTACTTTGAACTTACTAGCTTCCCCCTCTGTTGGGCAGATCTGGTTTCTCGTAGAGTATACACATCACCACAGACGGAGATTTCACGCCACACTCCAGGTTTAGACTCTTCTGTAAAGCCTCCTTTTGGATGCATGACCAGCACGCCATTGGTTGTTAATCCGTCCATGTGTCCATCAGGGTTTTTCCATTTTGCTGCTTTTTCCTATATGTAGTAGCACAACAGAGAGGCAAAATGCACAACCATTTAACTTCTGAAACCTCAAGTAGAGATATTTCACCGGCACAAGCATGAGCTCTTATCCAGTCTTACATTTCTTGAACTGCTCTGTTGGCTTTATAGATACCACATCAGCTAAGACTCATAATGAAGATGCTGTTAACCACTATAGTTGGATATAATTACAATGTTTACTATGGCTTGGATTGTGTAGCTGCCATTTTTTCCTGGGTAACCAGCAATCAAGTAAAATAATCCCACTGTAAATTTAATTCACAAGGCATTCAGTGTGAATTCAGTAAGTCAAACCCTGAAGAGCTGCTGCTAGTCTTTTTACAGAAACAGTAAGGCTAAAATTAGGGCTACAGTAAAAAATGAGAAGTAAACGTCCCCTAGCCAATTTGGTTAATAAAATTACAGTTCCCATATATTTTTTATAAATAGAATCAGTGAGTTTAACAAAGACATTCAAATCAATGACAGGATGCATAACATGACAACTAATAAACAGTAAAATTTTCTGCTTTTGCAGGGAAAGGGGAGGGGGGAAATCACATGGCACCAAAATGACTTTGCTTGTAGTGAACTTAGCCAGCAACAGTACTTACCCCAAGAAATATGTTTTTAGACGAATCAAATCCTGCTGCAAAAATTCTTGCTGTATATGGTGGGTTCCTGTCGCAGACAATCCTGCATGCAAACCTGGATATGGTGCTTTGTGTGATCTGAGTTTCATCATTATTTTGGCTGCCAGAAATGGTATCTGTTACAACAAAGTCTATAGGGCTTTCTGTTGATCTGCCAACCTGCAAAAATGTAAGACGCTTGTTTTACAGCTTTCCAAATATACCTCACAGAAACATCAATGCTATCATCTTGACAAAATTAATTTAGGTCACAATAATCTACTGTCTGCTAGCCAATGTTTTGCATGCTGAAATTCAAGCTGTAGACTAAGCCATTTTTTCACGTTTTTGCCTTGGGCAAAAATTCACCATTTGCACCAAAAGACAGCTTTTCACTTACTAAAATTGAAACATATGTATACATGTCTGTCTGCAACAAATTGCAAGCAGGTTTTTTTTTTTTTAAGGGACTTTTTCTAGAAGTGTGAAAATACTGATTACTACTGAATTTCATAGCCTGTTCTTTGAAAAAAATGCGCTCTTTCTTTCTTTCTAACAAATTAATTTAATAATGGAACTTTCTACGATCACATTATTTGTCAAATTGAAACAGAGGTTTTAGACCAAACAGCATATTTCATACATCATAACACAGGGGTGGGCAATTATTTCAGGTGGAGGGTTGCTTAACAAGGTTTGGTGAGCTGTGGAGGGCTGCATGGGTAGCCCCACCCCTTGACAGGTGCCCTGCCCCCTGGTTGCCAACTTGGGACTGGAAGTCCCACCCCTAGCCCTGGCCCTCCAGCAGCACATTAGCGTGAGAGTTGCACACGTGCGGCGAGGAGCACGGACAACAGAGGCACCCCAGCCCCATGCTCCATGCCCCTGCCCAGCTGCAGCTTGACCCCATCCCCATCTCCGTCCCCACCCCTGCCGGGCCCTTCTGCCACGAGGGTGGGAGTAAGGCACAACAGGGCATGTTGGAGGGGTGTATACATGGGAGCCTCATTCCCACTCCCGTGGGCAGAAGGGCTATGCAGGGTACAATTCATTGGTGGGCGACGCAGGCCAAATGAAAATGCCTGGTGGGCTGGATGCGGCCCACGGGCCGTATTTTGCCTGCCCCTGTCAATAGCAGAATGAAAATCTAGTTCAGCTTTTTTTTTAAATCTCAGCACACTGTGATTCTTGCACAGATCATTATTGTATTAGATGTACGTGAGCACGTACAGAAGACATTTTAGAGCATTTAATACTAAAAAGCCCCTTCTTCAAACAAAGCAGTTGCAGTAAAAGGCCCCGACAAGCATTTATCCCTTCTTTCTCACCCCTTCACTCCCAATCTGTAAATTTTTAATTCTAAAACAAACAGGACCAAGCCTATGCATCTGGAATGGCAAATGATGAAATGGAGAGAAGGATATGGCTCCCTAGCACAGGGGCAGGCACAAGACTATGACAGTACGCGCTACTTCGCCGTGGCAGTAACACTGTCACACTAGTTTGAACAGTAATTGGTTATAGTTGAAGAGCAAAAAATGGAATTTACAAGACTATGAGAGTATGAGCTGCTTCGCTGTGCAAGTAACACTGTCACACTAGTTTGAACAGTAATTGGTTATAGTTGAAGAGCAAAAAATGGAATTGAAAGCACATCTAAATAGGCACTTTTTGACCTACTGCCAACCAAAACAAAAACCAACTAATTCTGGATGATAGTGAATGAGAATACCAAGAACCCTTACTTACATGAGTTAAAAAAATCTCACTGATGATACTAAGAGGATGAATAGTAATGGATTAAACCACTGCTTGCTTGTACGTCCATCAACAGGAAAACCCATATGACACAGCTGTGTGCATAAACATGTTAGCTGCTTTAAAAGGGTACTGAGCAATACAACCAAAACTATGCTATTCAACTTTGCGCTACAATGCGCAAGACACAAAGGAAAAAAAAGATGTGTGAAACTGGACACAATCTACTTCATTTAGCCTAAAAAAATGTCAACGTTCAAAAGGCAACAAATAAGCTGTTCCTCCCTTTCAATCATACTCCTTTTCTCCCTGTGTGGTTCTAATTAAAAGGTATCAATTTTTCCACAGTAGCAACACAACAGCTTCTCTGTGCTTGTTATGCGGTCAAATTCCTGCCTGACTTCCGAAGCATCACAGCACTAATTACCTGTATGTGGTTACATGATTTAGCTGCCAGCTGACATGGTTTTCTTATTTTAATACAATATCAATTAAGTTTGACACCAAGTCATCTCTTGTTACACGCTGGTTGACATGCGTAACTGGCTCCTAACTAACTGGCCATACACAAGGGGTTTATTACAGATTCCTCAAACAGACCTGGTTTTCCAATACCTAGTCCTTTGTTAATAAAACCATTACAGTGAAAGGGGAACGTGCATATTGAATACAACTAGTTTCATTTTGCTTTACCAGAAAGAATTTTAACATGGTCTCAGTAACATGAATAATTTAAAAGGTTAGATCTGGTCTTCCTCTAACAGATGACCAAACTTTTAGCATATGCTGAAGGCTGGGAAATTACCTTGGAATAGCCCTTTATCAATCACCAACACATTAGCATGGTAGTCAAAGCACTCTAATCTACAGTTTTACACAAGGATGCAAAGATTAGTGTTAGAGCTTTTAATAGGAGACATCAGATGTTACTGCATAAAGCCTTTGCTCATCATCAGTTTTTAGCACTATTTCAGTTGTGAAATCTGTAACACCAGATTACTGCTGGAGCTTTTAACTGTTGTAAAAAGGCAGGTGGGGTGGGGGGAACATCCTATTGTCCCTTAAGGCATAACAACCCAAGTTTTAGCTTTTGGTTTTCTGCATACCATATCATAGCCTGTCATCTGATAGCAGGGAATCTGAAAAGTTTTACACATTAGTATTAGGATCAATAGGCTTGAGGCTTTTATTTCTTGTGTTCAGACTTAGAAGTTTCTGAAATGAAATGAAATATATTTAGGTGACAAGATCATACTAGGATTTTAAATTTCATTTGCATCAATAAAACATATTTGTAGTGCATGTTTTTCTAATATTCCAGTTTGTTGGTAAAAGACTGGCACATATTTGCAAAAGAGACTTGCACAGAAATAATCCTAAACACCACAGTTCAGCACCTTAATGCACTTGGAAAAGTCTCTATTCTTAAAAGTGAAGTTAGTGTTTGCTAACAATACTAAATGTGCATGCAACGGCAAGTACCAAGAACAGCATAAGCACCTTTACATTGTCCTGCTGATGTGCCAGGAACTGCAGTCACAAGAGAAAACTGCAGTCTCCATGTACATTCAACTCTTCAGCCTCTGCGACTATTGAAAATGTAGTTAATCTGTTATAGCTGTGATGATTTTGGTGTTAACGAGGGCACTTTTCCACAAGGAATTAAGCAGACTAGGAGTGTCATATATATACCTGCGCAAGCTGGATGTGACCCATGGAGGGGGATCACGTGGCCTGTGGGGTTTTGCCGCAGCTGTCAGAAGCCAAGGAGTTAATGCTGCAGGCTATTAAGCCCTGCAGCTACCAGAACGACCGTGAGAGCGTAGCCAGGACCCAGGAGGTGAACAAGGCTGCTAAATTTAGTGGTTTTCAGACTCAAATTGGTGGCATTCATCCTGGGTGCTGTCTACACTGACACTGAGGCTCTGGCAGCTGCACCTCTGGAGGCTGAACAGTGGCAGCAGTAACTCCTTGGCTGCTGGCTTACTAGCTTTCTTTGAGTTTGACACCCCAAAGAGATCATTAAGTCATCTAATACTGCAATCAAAAGACAACCCATGTGGACATATATCTGCACTTCACATCTGCTCTAAAGAGGATGGTTCTTCATTAGTGACAATTTCTGACTGATTCAGTCCTCCCCACCATCATCTTTGCCTAATTTTCAAAGGGTTAAACTAAATGTTGCTTTTCAGAGGGTTGCTTAGACTTTTTTTTTTTTTTTTTTAGGATTTCAAAGTTGTCTTGTTTTAGAAAACTGCAGAACGTAGCTTTGGATACTTCTGTGAAACGTGCTTTGTGAACGACCTGCTACTGCGCTGCAACGGTGACTTCTGAAAGCAAACCAACCTTCCAGCCGACAGCTGTCACAGAGCTGCACATGCAGGCTGTGTAAGTTGGTTGTTAAAAGGTACAATAAGCCAAAAAGTCAATTCACTAGCATTTACTGTCAAAGAAATGGTATTTAGGATCAATCCCTAGAGAGTGTTGGTTAAGTTCGCTGCCAGGCCAAACAGGTGCCTATCTACTGACATCAATGATACTTCACTCACGTACCCTGACTAATAACGTTGGCAAAGGAATGGCCTAGCCCTTAACAAGTCTAGACAGGAAATGAGGTGGCTTCTCACTATCAGAGAAGTGAGGCTCAGGAGCAGCCTCCCAAGTAGAGGTGCAGAAAACACTAAAACTAGTTTTAAGATAATAGCTGATCAAGCTCTGAAAGTGGTTATACCACATGGTGCCAGCAACAGCAAGGAACCGGACTTGATGGAAGCTTGTTTTCCGCTAGAAGTGAACCGATATGATGGTCCAATATCAGATTGGAACTGATATAAGGAAAATTGGCTGCATCTAAAATCGGCCCGACAGGGCCGATAATTTCGCTGATAATTGCCCGTGCCTGTGCGCAGCTGCAGTGCAGTACTCAGACAGCGAGGAGCACAGCCCAGCAGTTTGGAGAGCTGCATGCAGCTGGTAAGTCCATTGTGGTGGAAGGGGAGGGGGAGCAGATCAATGCCCTTCGTGGTGAGGGAGGGGGCAGGGACAGAGGAGGAGCTGCCCAGTAGGGCTGTGTAAAGTTTTGGTCACTGATTTGATTTGGAGGAGATTCGGTCCGATTTGGCGACCGAAACTCCGAAGCGAATCAGAACCCTCCGAAACAATTTAGAAGCACTTCTGGTCCACTTCCAGGTCCACCGAGGAGTGTGTGGGGGGCCCCCTCCATCCATGCCCCCGGCTCAGTGACTGGTGCCTCCTGGGTCTGGGGGAGTACCCGGGGTCCCCCCGCAGTCGATTGCTGAGCCGGGGGGTGCAGACGGGGGCGGTCCACCGTGTGCTCGGGGGCAGACCTGGAAGTGGACTGGAAGTACTTCCGGTTGACTTCCAGGTTCACTGCTGAGCGGGGTGGGGAGGAGGACGACGACGGGGTCGGGACTCTGGTACACACCTGGTACCTCAAGGTATGTAGAAAAAAACATTTAAAGGTGCGTCTATGGCTGAAGTGCTGATTCTCTGAATTAGCATCAAATCTTCAGATTTGGATTTGGCCGAATCGAATACGGCCCGTTTCACACACCCCTACTGTCCAGCCAGGGGAGGGAAGGGGAGCAGGACGGAACCATGGACCTCCCGCTGCTGTTTGCACACAGGTGGGGGGAGCGCGTTTGCCCCCAGATCTGTGCAAAGCAGGGTGGGGTGGACGGGCTGCAGCTACGGGCTGGAGCCGGGGCTGTGCCAGGCTCTTCTCAGCGGGGGCTGGGCTCGGGGCAGGGGCTACAGAGAGAGGGCTGCAGGCACTCCAAATTTTGCCGTAGGCCCGCCCGCTCCCAGCACCAATGCCGATGTCCACTTGGCACAGCCCCAGCTCAACACCCTGCCTCCACCCACGTGCCAGGAAGACCCAGGGATGTGCCAGGTGGGCAGTGGCCACAGCGCTGGGAACTGGGCTACAGAGAAATTTGGGGTGGCTGCAGCCCACTCTGTAGCCCCCGCTCCAAGCCCAGCCCCCACCGAGAAAAGCCCAGCGCAACCCTGGCTCCAGCCCGCAGCTACAGCATGCCTGCCCTGCCCCACACAGATCTGGGGGCACATGTCCCCCGCCCCAGCTGGGCAGTACCTGTCCCTGCCCCCTCCCTCACTGCAGGGGGTGTTAATCTGTTCCCCCACACCCACCCCTTCTGTCACCTTCTACCACAACAGACTTACCAGCTGCACGCAGCTGTATCAGAAATCGGAGGTGTGTTGGCCAATACATCTCCGATCGGCTATCGGTAGGCTCCCAAAATCTCTATCAGTGTACCACTATTTTCCAGTGTATACTCCTAAATTCTATACAGCTGGACAAAGCAGACACTTCAGACCACAGCTATGGAAGGTTTCCAACAAAACGGCTTTACCAAGCTCAGGTAAGGGATGCTCATAGCCTATTTGTGTCAAAAGACAAACATAGTCACTAAAGTTAATTAATTAATTAATAAGTTTCTAGGCTCAAGCAAGACCATTCCTTGGTAGAGTTCCAAGTATTTTTTGCTCTGTCATGGATGACAAACCCATTCAAAGCCACCTATGTAGTAAATCTGAAATCTGATCGCTGCTCTTTCTATTTTTCCAACTTTGTTGGGGCAGTAAGGAAAGCCCACCCCTTCCCGCCACCCCAGCTCCCTGTTTGCTCCCTATCTGCCTTGGCTCTCCTGGCATCCAGGTTTACCAACAATAAACACAAGCGCCCTATTTCTGCCTTTATGCTATTAAGGAATTTCAAGTTTGTCTCTGCAGCACAAATCAGCAGCGGTGCAGAATACGAGGAACCATATACATAACACCTCACGTTTCCTTTCAGAAGTCCAACTGCATCAACTCTCACTCTAGCTCCCAGGATGGCTGGAGAGAAGACAGATTTCTTCATGGACCTTTGACTGATCTCCCTTCTCCTGCAAGGGCAGTAAGTTCCAGCTTACCAAACTCAGCTTCTAGAGACTCTTCATACATAAGATAACACATTACACTAGTGAGGAAATAAGAGCAGAAGTCTACCCTTGATCTCCCTCTTTACAGACCTGCACGCCAGGATTCAGGACACTGTGCGGCAGGGCCTGATCTGGCATGCTGGCAGTGGGGCAGTGCAGAGCAGCAGAACCTGATCCAGCACGTTGGTGCTGAGGGCCAATCTGGCACACTGGTGCTGGGCCACATGGCAGGGCCCAATCCAGCACGCCAACACTGGGGCTGTGTCAGGTCTAACCCTGCACACTAGCTCCAGGGCTGTGTACCAAGTTCAGGATCACACGCTGGCTTTGGGGTTATGTGTAGGGTTAGACCTGGTGCACTGAGTCCGGCCATGGACCAACCCCCTACACCAGGCTTGTCCAGCATACAGCTACCATGAGGCGCTCCAAGCCATTTTCTGAGGCCCGAGGTGCTGCAACAGGAAACAAAAGTAAACACTGTACTTTTGTTTCGAGGGGGTGATGTGATACCGCTTCCTGTGAGGTCTCTGAACATGGTTCGCCGGCCCACTGGGTGATAAAAAGCTCATGATCCGGTCCCACATTCAAAAAGGTTGGACACCCCTGCCCTACATTGTCTCAACCTAGCACGTGGTAGCAGAGGGTAGTTTCCTTATGGACCCAGAAATCTGGCAGCGGGGAGGGCAGAGGTGGAGCCATGGTAGTGTTTATTGCTGTGACTCCCAGAGCCTTGGCAATTTATGCTGCCACCGTTCTGTCTTCCCAAATCTCCAGACCTGTGGGGAGCCCTTTTCCTTGCATATAATGTAGATACCAGTTTTCCCCTGGTGATTTTGTGTTATATGCAAGAAAGTACAGTACTTAGCTGATGCTTATTACTATTATATCTGAGCACTCGGAGTCTTTAGTGTATTTATCTCTACAATAGCACAGTGTTGTTACCCTTGTTCTACAAGTGGGTAACTGAGCCACTGAGAGATTAAATGACTTGCCCAAAGTCAGAGAGAAGACTGTAGCCGAGCAAGGACTTGGCGCCAGTTCTCAAGCTAGCACACAAAGCACTGGACCATCTTATCTTTCTCATTTTTTGGATTTCAAGAATTGTTTTAAGAATTGAGGACACCTTTGTTCCCTCTTGGCCCTAGACAGATTCAGAGAGGCTCTAGTGATCTAAGTCTGGGATGCTCAACCCCTGGCCTGTATAGCCTTGTGATCCAGCCTACAGGGCTTCCCAAGGGTCCAGAAATTTGGAGATGGTACAGCAGTTGCAACTAATGCTGCCACAATTTTCCTTCGGCAAATCTCCAAGCCCCAGAGAACAGATATCATGGCCCCATGCATGGGATCTGGCTGGCATGCACAAGGCAGGGGTTTTTAAAGGTGTTGCACAATATTAACACCGCTTGGCATGCAAACACCTACCCAAGAGTCAAAAGATAAATACAGAGATTTCAAAGAGGAATCCATAGCTTCATAAATATTGTGCCCTGTTGTGGCCCGAGTTCTTTGCAGAAGAACTGTTCTATTATTTTTCTATAGTCAGAGACCAAGCAAAAGCTACAAGCTGGCATATTTCAAAGGATACCTCGAGTCTTAACAAGGGGAGCCTTAAGTCTAAAAAGTTTGAGCACCACTGATCTGTTATCCAGCTATTGAGAAAATCCAGTTTTGTTTGCAGAAAGTTTACCCTGGAAATGCAAAATAAACACTTAAAAGACTGGAATGTAACTACTACATGCTAACCTATAGCCTGGTTTCTAGATGAAAAACTGGCACTAAGTATCCAAGTTAAATTTCCGTTTTATTAGTCATCTTAGAAAGGCCATTCATCCATTATCGTCAACTCAAGATTCACGATGTTTGTTTGCTATGGGAAAAGAAGCAAGACTATAGCACAGAAGAAAAATCACACTTCCATTAATCATCAAATGGACATAATAAGAATTCATGCATCACTAGGTCCCACTGGGAGACTTGTTCACACATGGGGGAAGAAAAGCAACTAAAGCGGAGCAGAGGATATTATCATTTGCACAGTCATGTTCGCTGTTGGCAAAAGAACACAAAAAGAAATAACAGAAATATTGAAGCTTTCAGTGTACAGATTGAACTGCAGGGATGTATTAATTCAAAGATGCTTTAATTAGATACATGAACGTGCAGCCTTGACAAGAAAAGACTACTAAGTTGGTCTTCTGAGTGCAATGACCTTTACTATATACAAGATTTCCCTTCCCACGACTCATTTTGTATACTAGCATTAGATTAAAAAATAACCTACGTTACAAAAACACTCCTGTTTGCAAAGTCAAATGCTCAAAAGTTAAAAAATGTCAGAATTAAAGTTGTTTGTAAAACCTCAACACCATTTTCTTGTGTGCAGGCTCTACGATTCAGCGTAAATCATGACCACATACTGTTTTTGCACAGCACCCATGTCTTCGCTGGTGCACAGCTCCCATCTCCCGCTCCCTGTTTCAGTCCCCTCCCTTTCCCCACCATCCTGGGCCGCTCTGTTTTCTCCCCTTCATTCCTTGCTGTGCCCTGCTCCTTAACCACTCCAGTGCTATTGCAAGCCGTCTATACTAGGCCTCTGCACTTAATGAAACCAAATGCATCAGGTGCTTTATTTCAGTGCCATTTCCGCATTCTACTAGTATAGTATAGTATTTTGTAAGGAACTAAATACCCACCAGCTTTGTTTAACAGACACTGGCTCAGCTCAAAACAAAAGAAAAAGAAAAAAGTCTTACCTGAAACATATCTGTATCTTTATCATGTGTATACTCTACTACAACCGTCTGGTTTCTCGATAACGTGTAAGAGATACTGTGCTGCCCTTTACAGCTGATGGCCTGTTGAATAATAATAAAAAAAAAAAATCACTATATATAAGTTTACACACAAATATCAAACTCACTTCACTATACAAATACTTTTGACAATAATCAGAAAAAAGGAGCTGTGTAATGAAGATGTATAATGAATGCAAATACATATGCAAATTATGATTTCCTACAATGGCTTTTTGGTTCAAGTACCATTTGCTTATTAAATCTTTTAGGACGACAAGAGTATCTCCCAGTTCGGTAATTTAAAGCCAATGCATCACTTTGTCTTTAATTCTAAAATTAGTAATTCTCCCATGAACTGCACACATTTCTCTCCTCCCACCCTCCTTTGCATATAAATCATCCTTCATTTCTCTCTGTGCATTTCCAGTTTAAAAACTTCAGACCTTCTAACTCAATTTATGCAAGTTTTTTTTTTTTTTTTTCCGATTCGTCAAATATCCTCTAGGTGATTAATACAAAGCTTACTTACATCAGTGATTCATTGCGTAAAGTTTCAAGTGGTAACTCATTCCAAACATAATTCTTTTAAAATAGTCTACATGCAATATAATATCATACCATAGACTTTTTTCTTTCAGAAATATATTTTATCAGGTAAGAAGAAAAAAAGGTCATCTTGATTTACCTTTTATAATTGTTTCTAGGCAAAATCTCATGGAAATACTTGGCTCCTACCCAGCATTTCTCAGCCACCTCTACTAAGGCTCTACTAAGAGGTTAATTAAACACAGCCCCAGTTAGAAAAACTGGAACAAAGTGACATTGCCCTAGGTTGCAAAGCCACTCAATGACAGTGCAGCTCCGTTTCCTAAACTAGTTCCTGATACTACCTTCAGTCACACAAGACCTTTAGAATCTAATAATTAAATCTTTAAAAAAGAGAGCCAAAATAATTTCAGAAAAATCCTAGTTCTTTAGTCTTTAGAAGGAATGGAAGCAATTTGACTGAAGCTATTGATTCTACAAAAAATAAATAATTTTAGTGGTCTCAGGAGCTATTCAGCATGCAGAATCGCCTCTATAAAGAGCTGCTGTAACACAGAGTACATGTAATAATGGGAGTTTAAGTACTTCCAAAGAGCTCCAAGTCCAATGCTTTGACAACACCACAGGGTGACACTACATGCAATTATATCTACTGATTCTATCGTAGTGGTATTTTATCCCTTTGTTGCTCTTGATCTAAAAATTACAAGCATCCAACATGGAAAGGGATGAGTAAATTGAGCAACTCCAATCTACTCTGCTTAATTGCTTCAGACCATTTTTAGTCACTTTATTTCTCTGAGACATTCTAACTGATCTCAAAGCCACAGATTATCTGGTTAAGTGAATCAGAGAAACTCTCTTGAATGTTATGGCAAGGACTGAAAAACCGATAAAAGAAGGAACATATGTGCAGTGATCACTAATAAATGGATGGATCCTATATTTCTCATACCAGCTTTTACCAGCTATAATACTATACCATAAACTATAAAAGTGCAAGACATCTGTTCCTTCATCATTAGGGACCTACCAAATTCGCAACAGAAGGGGGCTGCGTGGCGGTGCCTTTAATCTTGCAAGTTCCTGTGTGCCCCCCCCCCTGCTGCCATTGATTGGTGGAAGGGCCCCACTGCTTGCTCCTGATTGGCCAGGGAGGCAAAAACCATGGTTTTAAATGTGGTGCTGTTTCTGCCTTCTGGCCAGTCAGCAACAAGGAGTGGGGCTGCCAGATGCCCTCTGCCAATTGGTGGCAGGAGGCAAAAACGGTACCATATTTAAAAACTGCGGTTTTCGTCACCCCGCCCATCGGGAGCAAGCGGTGGGGCCCCTCTGACAGCATGCTCCCTGCAGGATGCTGTATACCCACTCAAACACCAGGTGGCACTGCTCTGCTCTCTAGCCTTCAACATCCAGCCTTGGTCAGGGACAGAGCTTCAATCAAGCTCTGAGGTGCTCAGTTTTTTGTTTTACTGAGGGCTCTTTTTTTTCTTAATGAACTTTATGAATATATATTTTTAGCCTCTTTCACTGACCACCCACAAATTTACAGACAGTTGGCTACCCTGGATTCTGCCCTGTCAGAGTTAAATGGGCACCTTTATATAGTTCTCTATGTACTGAAAGGGAAAAGTCTTGCGAGTTCTTAGCCTAGACAGTTGAAGCAGTTTAACATTTTTACACTATGCTAGCCCACTGCTTTCAGCATAACAAATGATTTCTACTTTCATAACCGTACCTGTAAAAATCCATAGCATGGTACGTGAGCTAGACTGCATAAATCACAGACTTTGGAATCCATACGTTTGACTGATTATTGTTAGATTGAGCATGACCAATTCATTTCCTGCAAAATTAGATTAGGACATTTCTATAAGTTATTTTTATTTTCACTATACCAGCCACTAGACTATAGAGTCCAGCTTTCATTATTTATGACCAGTCTAATGTGATCTGAAAATAAATTCTCAAAATGCATGGCACTGATATTGGCTCCCTGTTTAATTTTACTACATCCAAATTAGCCTGATACCATACAACAGGGATGCCAAACTCATTTGGCCGGATAAGTAGCATGGGGCTTGTCTGGATTGGGCCCATGGATCTCCCCTCCACACTTACCCTTCCCCAACATACCTGATCAGGCAGCTGCTCCAGCTGGTCTGGGACCTGCACTGCATGTGGCATGGATCCATGAGTGGCTGGATCTGGCCAGAGTGGCAGCTGCCATGCACACAGTGGGGCAGGAGCGCTCATAGAGCCCACCTGACTCAATTAAATGAAACAGGTACTTGCAGATCCACTCCTGTTCCCTGGTTGTCTGCTCTATCACATATCCTTCCTCCTGATCTTTGATGTAAACAGGCTACTTTAAGAATCTACAAAAAACTGCTTACATTCAATCTGCTAACAATTTTTGAGGAATTTAATGATCCCCGCCCCACGCCAAGACTTAAGTCAAGGAGGCCATTTCAAAGGCAGGAAAAAGAGCTGAATGACAAAAATTTTAACATCAAGGAAAAATGGACCCAGCAATAGAACACAACTGACATAAATTTAACAAATGACTTATCATGGACCCCACATCTACATCCCTGGCTTTGCTTTACCAAGGCGGAGCTGGACAACATTGAACGGGGTTTGTACACGGCAAGATAGATGCAACTACCTACTACATAAATGGAATTTTATTAAAGACCCCAAGTGCAAGTGTGGCAAATTCCAAACTATAGCACATATTACGGAGGAGCGCCCTATTTATCATTTTAATGGTTGCACTGAAGACCTACACGAGGCTACTGATGATGCTTTACCATAGATATCAAATCTAAAACTGGAACCCTAGTCATTGTTTATAGATTGCTTATAGGTTGTTCTGTCATTCGGTTGCTGTATTCCATACAATAAATTGCCAAATGTTGTCAAATTCGTGTTTCTTGTATAAATTAGCCCTGTACTAAGATTATGTATTTTAGAGAGGATGTTCTTTTCCTAGTCTGATATACCTGTGGTTCCCCTCTCACAACTTCCATTGAAAAGCTGCTTTTAAATAATGTCAAATGTAAGACTTCATTTCCCAGTATTTTATAATCTTTCAAAGCACTTAGATCATTCTGAAATTATACAAGATGACAAGTTTTTCGGAGTCTATTTGGCACAGACAGCTGCTCCAATTCAAAGAGATTTCACATGCATTTTACTGCTCATCTTGCAAAGAAATTGGCCACTAGCAATTGTCCAATTGGAAAGTCAAAGAACCAAGGGAAAAATTTGATAGCACTCCAGTGCATCAGTTATTGTATAAACACAAAAAGGTCATCATTGGCAATCCCTCGCAGTTGAGGATGATAGTCTTCCACGACTGCTTTTATCTATGGGTCTGAAGATAGCTGATGAGGCTGATCCGTGATTGACAGACTCTGCTGCAACTTGGGCATGTGTTTCCCTGAGGGGTAGGTAGCCCAGGATTCTGGATTCAGTTTGTGACACGCCATTTCTGCTGCTCCTGTTTTTCCATTTCCTGTTGTCGTCGTAAGGTTTCAAAGTACCGAGATCTTTGCAGCAGACTCTTCCTCCATTTGGGGTGGTCCTGGGCCACAGTCTCTCACGAGTTGACATCGAAGTTTCATTTTCTGTAAGCTGACCTTTAGGACGTTCCTAAAGTGCTTTCTCTGCCCTCCTCTTGAGCGTACACCTTGACTGACCTGGGAAAATAAAACTTGCTTTGGGCATCTGGAGTCAGACATGGCCCAGCGAAGTTGATGTTAGATGACCATCCCCTCAATGCTAGTGGTGTTTGTTTGCGAGAGGACACTAGTGTTGGTGCATCTGTCTTCCCACTGGATTTGAAACACCTTCCACAGGCAGCCTTGATGGTACTTCTCCAGTGATTTGAGATGTCTCCTGTACGTTGTTCATAACTCTGTACGGGAACGGGGGGGATCATGACTGCTTGATAAGCCATAAGTTTGGTTTCAGATCTGACCTTATGATATTTGAACACTCATTTCCTCAGGTGTCTGAAGGCTGCTGGTGCACTTTTAAGGCGATGGTGGATTTTTTCATAAACATCAGCCTTCTGTGCAAGATGGCTTCGACGGTATGGGAAATGCCTTCCCCAAAGAATGTGATCCAAGCAATGACACAGTAGGAGAAAGGGAGAAAAGTCCCCAGGGAAATAAGACTGGTCCAGTAGTGACTTGTCATGACCAAGTTTTACTGGCACAATTTAAAAGGGTTACACAATTATGACAACACAGCCAAGCCTGAAACCTTCAAAACAGCCCAGAAGGTCACAAAACTGACTTATAATTAAAAAGTTGAAGGTGCTTTTCTACATATTGATTAGTGTTATTTGAGTTTGAGCATCTGAGGTTTTACACCTTCAGCCTTTCCTTTGAAACCATGACAGCTATACACTTTTCTTGAACAAAAAGTTGTCACATACTGACATCACTCCAAGAACAAAAGCTTTAGGGGGGAAAAAGAGCAAATCAAAACACATGTGCTGAAACGGCAAGAATCTGCCACCCTTTTAATTCTCCATCCAGAAACTAATGCAGACTGACCCCCTGATCTTCTAGATTGTGTGCACCTCTATCTGAACAGTCTAGCCCCCAAACCTTAAGCCTTTTCCCTCGATGCTGCCAAGAGCCACTGGGACCATACCATGCATATGATTTCAGACTGCCGTAACCCAAGCAGAAATGAGAGCTGGCCAAGAGATGTGCTGTTTTACGTGCTTTGCTGCATCTCAAAGCTGTATTCTCCCATTTGTCTTTTGTGTGCGCTTCAGTTACCCTTCACTGGACAAGTATCGTCTGCAATGACTAGCGTAGGATTACTTGCAGCAGCTTATGGTGCAATGCAAGGAGGTGGATCTGCACCAACAAGGGTCACAAACCCCCTTTTTTTTATAACACGTGTTGTTCAAGTAGAGTAGAGGAACAGTTGAGGTCTATGAAGGTTTTTATCACCTCAGTGCACTACCAGGAAGAGAGAGAAGAGCAGGCCACGTGCCAGAGAGCATCCTTAGGAGAAGGGTCAAGGTGCTAACATCTGGCTGGCAATTCTGGGGTGGTTGCAAGTCCCAACTTGCCCCTCCCTTCTTCCTCCCTCCCTCCTGCTTTGCCCTGCCGTCTTCCGGTTCCTGCTGGGGCATTGCATGGCTTCCCCTCCCTGCTGGACTGTGTCCAGCCCCGTGCAAAACAATAACTGATAAGCTAACTGGTTATCACTGGGCGTATCAATTAAATGATTAATCACGTAACCTTTTTAGATCCTTATTCATCTCTATGAAGCTCTCCTCGAGCTCCCAAAGCTAACTCTAGCCCCTACTATGGCACAGCAGTTTTCAAGTTTCAACATGTGATGCACATGTTTTAAAGTAAGTTGAATAGGGGCTCCCTGTTAGGAAATCTATCGCAGGAGCCCCCTGAACACGCACAACTGACTTCACCCCTAGTTCCCAGGGAGGTGGTGGTAGCATCACCACTATGTCTAGCTTCATTTAAATCCTCACTGCTACCTGAAATGGGAGACCTGTCACTAATGTGCCCCTTTCCATCTTTCTCCTCTCTCTCTACCTCCTGGATTGAGCAGGCAAGGAGGGCGGCACAGGTACAGAACAGTTAAAGTACTTCACACGACCTGTGGTGGCAAGAGGTCTTGCTCTGGACTTGCATCAAAGGCCACCCCCAATCCACTATACCCAGAAGCCTGGTCATTTGGGCCAAAGAGTCAAGATGTGACCTGACTTTACTCTCTTGCATGCAGCTAGCTTCACCACCTTTCCAGCCTGCTGGGCTCTGAGCTTAGGCAGCCAAGACTTTTTGCAGTATGGCCGGCCATGACCAAAGAGTGACCTAAGGGCACTTGGTGCTCAAAAGCTTGTCCAAGAATTCAACTATGTAGTTGTTCTAACAAAAGAGACTAGCCACAAAATCCTGCGTCTTGCACCCAACCCAAACGGACTGCTAAAAGCAATGCTTTAAATGGCTCAATGATGGGTCAGGTCTCAAAAGGGGTTGTTAAGAGCCTGTGCTGTGTTTCTCTCCCTCAGCAGGTACAAGCCCACCCTGAAGACAAAGCTGCAATTTCTTTTCCTTCCCCTTTTGTTTGTGTTGTTTCATAGGAAACAGGATCAGCATAACAGCCCCAGCTCCTTTCAACTAAACATGTTCTCTTTCCCTGAAAGAGACCGTCATTACCATCTTTACCACTATTTAAAATACTCACATACAAGGTTTTCTTTCCCCTTTCTAAAAATTCCCCATAGCTAGGGGACATGGGGATAAATAAGGCTTATGTTTTAATGGCCTTAAATGTGTGGTAGAAAGCATGTGTCATTTGCTCTTGTGTTGTCAAAGAGGCACAGGAACTTTTTTTCCTCCTGCCCCTCTTTTTCCATGGGACAACAATACACTGAAAATACTTAAACTGAATGGTATGAAACCATAATATGCAGATTGGATTAGTTATGGCAGAAATTTGAACTGTATTATTTAAAAAAAGGAAGGTAATATTTTGTTTGATGATGGCATCCTGTTTAGTTAGTGTCAAACTTGCACCAAATTAGGGTCACGTATTACAAGCATGTTTTCTCATGTGCTCAACATATCCAAGCTTGAAACTATCAATGAGTTGCTGCTGTTTGCTTTTCTTTTATCACACGCAGTGTCCAGCTCCAGAAGAGATGAGGAATATGTAGCATGGATACAATACAGCCCCTGGCCAAATGCTTAATTTACCTTGTATTTAATTTATGCTACTTTCCATGACAAAAAATAGAAAGTAACAGCTGAATATGCAGGATGACTTCACAGGTTTCTGGAACAGCAGCTCTTT